GTGTGGTACAAGTAAATGTCTTTAGAGAGTCAAAAAACGGTCAAGCTGAATCCTGTCTCATCAAACAATTTTCAGTTCCACATCTTGTCAGTTTTCCAGCTATGTGAGACCTAATTGAACTAATCCAAGTAAAGCAGTGCCCTTTTGAACTCATGCTTAAGTCACTGCAGTAGCTTTCTGTTCATGGTGCTTCTAAAGAACTTTCTGAGGTTAAACCATCACAGAAGGAAATGAAACAATTATCTAGTTAATGCTGGGAGCACTGATATTTTGGTGGAGTGTAGGAGTGAACCAATATCCTTGCGTAGCTGCTGGAATTTCCAGTAGGAAATTGGAATGGCCAATGGCTAAGGGCTTGTGAGCAGCCCTCCGCAGCATGGAAATGCTGTCTCTGCATGCAGAGCTTGGGGGAGTCAGGAGGGCAGGCAGGGAAGCTCATCAAGTCTGTCACATTAACAGAATTGCAAATGTCACAGCCAGATTGCTGCCACATCCCTTGCCATTCTGAAAAATCTACCCAGTGATCTGAAATCACTTAAATGTAAATAGTTACATTCAGAAATACTTACTTTGTCCAGTTCTGTATACTGTTAGTCATTTAATACTTGTAAGCATCTAAAATCTTATTTATAGTTTACATTTCAATGATGTTACGTCTGACATCAGTCGATCTGGAGTAAGTGGTGTGTGGCTGACTTGGTCCATTAATGATTAAAACTGGCCCTAGAATTCGCAGTTGTTGGCCAGTTTAATTTTTAGAAACCATGCAGGCTACTGAATATTTTAAATTTTTTTGACCTTTTTATTCATTAGAGCTTAATCTTCATATATTCACATGAATAAATAAAATAATGATTTCAAATAGATACAGAGTGAATAGGGGACTTAAGCTAATTCTTCTGGAGATAAGTTTCACTAGCCAACCTTTCCAACAAATTCATTAGTTACAAATATACACATATTCAAATGAGAAAAATGATTTAATGTAAATGTATTCATTTAGCTCACTATTTGACACAGTATGGTAACAATAGCCATTCGGTGCCATCCACTGATCTATGTTGGAAGCAGCTGACATTGCTAATTTGATTTTATGTCTTCTAAAAAGCATGGTATTTGGATTCTACAGAGAAGTACTTGCATCTGGAGTAAAGCAAGAATCCATACCTCTTAGATTAAAAAACGCAATGGGATACTGGTTATTTGGTCTATGTGCAAAGGTAGTATCAGCTAGGTTTTGGTTTTCCTTCACAGATTTGAGTTTCACTGAAGAATGAACTTTGGTGAAAATACACATATGGATCACCACTAGGTATTTGTAAGCACAGGCAAGCACTAAGGATAGCATTTGATTTGTTATTTGTTTAGATTACCTGAAAAGTTTACTTTTATAAAGTAAAGGTGAGAATATGTTAGTGTATCTGTCTTTGAGGACATTGTGAGCCAGACACTCTGAGCTGGGTAGCTTTTTAAACAAGCTATGTTAGCTCTGGTTTTACACAGCCTCACTCATTGGCTACTTCTATGCCAACTTTTTAAGTAGCCTTATCTCTCAGCAAGAACAGATACTTAATGTACTGGCTCATGACATTTGATTATTCCAAATGGGCAAATCCAAAGCACTAAATTTCAGACTTGATACTATTCTTTACTAAAGTATTTACAAATTAGTTTCTTAAAACATATTAATATTAGGCCAATGACACTGTGTTTTAAAATTGCCCATTAAAAATGGTGTCTGCAATAGCACTTGAGCTCACCACTTTGCTTTGTATCTTTTGTTTAATTGTGGCAATTTTTTGCCCTTGAAAGATGCCAGACTTATGTTCAGAAGAATTCCTTAGAATCTTGGTTGTGCTACGGATCAGATGTATAACTTTGAGCAAGTCACATAATCTATGTTAGTCTCATTTATTTCATCAAAAATTTGAGATGGTAATAATTCCTGGGGGTTGTTATGATATTAAATGAGATAATATATACAAAAGCTGTTTACATACTGTGACGCAATCCATAAATATAACAAACACAATAATACTCTGCCTAGTTCAGTATTTTATCCAATGAAGATAATTGCCATTTAGCAGCATTATCTCTAAATGCTGCCTAACCCCTGTGATAAGAATCATATAGAAGAACGCTTTAAATTTTTTACTGAATATTACAGATGTATAACCTGTCTCTTTTTATCCCAATAAATGCCTAAGGGAAAAAGAAATTCTACTGATGTGGGCTGCTATTTTACTCTCCCAAATGATTGATGTGAAGATTTTATGTTATAGTAAAAACTGATAAAAAACAACACTGACATGGGAATAAGCATGTACCATGCTTAACTTCCAGGTTGTTCTCATATTAACTTAGGAAATCCTCCCCATAACCTCATGAGGTGGGTGTGCTACTTCCCTGGTATTAAGGTGGTGAAGCTGAGGCATAGAGAGATGAACTTGTCTGTGGTTACACAGTGTTACCAGTCTCCTTTAATTTTCTTGTCCCCTTCATTAAGCTTTTGGGGAAGAACGTGGCAGAAGTAATACCAGGGTAAAGGAAGTCGTGGACGTTACTTGGGTCTTAGGTGTAAGGGAAGGAATCTCATCATTATAAATTTACTGTGTGTAGATTATTGATCGCATTACTTGTCTCTCCTGAGTCCAGTCAGTAGTAACAGTAAGCTAAATCTCTCAGAGGCTCAGTCGTCTCAGTCCTGGTCTGCAAATGAAAAATTGAAATAAAAGAGTCACAAAGCCCCATCCAAAGAGTCATTCCAGAGCTCATGCAATCTTTACCCTGTTTTCAGGCTTAGAATTTGACTTGTTTCATATACTGCACATAGTTTCTGTTCATTTAAGCTACCTACTTATTGGTTCATGAATTTTAAAAGTTTTACTGAGGATCTCCCACATGGCAGGGATACCTCGGGGTATTGGAAATGGGGTGGTGAATGTAGCAGGTGGGTATCTCTGTTGAATTTACAGACTAACGAGAGAGGATGTAAGCAAGTAATCTCACAATTAGAAGTAACACGACTAGTCTGGGTAGGGCTATAAGGACATGGAACGTGGCACTCCAGGGATGCATCTGAGAAGGCATTTGGCAAACACTTGATCGTAACTTGCGTCCCCATTTCTGTCTTCAGCTCTCCTCAAGATGTCAGAGACTAAGGAAGAACGGAGGGAGGGCAAGTTAGAGTGAGTGGAGAGCCTAGTCGGCAAAGCAAATAACACAAGACGGCCACCAGGAAAAGAGAAAGGAAAAACCTGCCTCCGGCCATGTCACATAACTCGGCCTTTGAACATGTCACTCTATCATGGAAGAGTAACTTATATTTGTTAAAAACTACTATTTTCAAGAAAAGTTACTACAGAGTCATTTTACTAAATTTAATAAAAAGAGTAAGCGACACAATAAATTCGAAGTGATTCCCATTACGTGGTTAAAGTGTTTCGCTATTTGAAAGTTTGTGTTGCCAGTTTTATGGCAGTAAGTTTATCTCTAATGTTGAACAGCCAAGATTGCTGCTTTTATTAGACTTCTCCGACCGCAGGCCGTGGTCCACTTGCTCTCTTTTTTTAAATGTTACAATAAAATATTTAAAAATAAAGGAAATTTTCTTTCTTATATATATTAGCTACATTATAGATTTTATACATAGCCCACAGCAGTTCCTCTTCGCTCAGTGTGGTCCAGGTAAGTGCCAAAGCTGGGCACCCATGGATGAATATTGATTGCAGACTCACCTGTAGGTGCTAGTCAGTAGACGGTGCCTGCTGTCTAGTTCCAGCCAGTGGCCAGGCATGGAAAAAGAGTAATTGAAAGGATCCTAAATCTTCTTGTGAGTGAAACTGTGATAATGACATTCCATCTTTCCGCCTCAGGAGATTCTTTGGCACATACGCATTCAATTAAGATTTATTGTGAGCCTCCTCTGCACACTGGGAATATCGCAATAAGTGAAGGACAGTTGGCTCTTGGCCTCATGGGACTCAGGCTCACTGAAGAGGCCAGCGTTCCTTACAGTGGGTCATTTGCTGTTCCTTGGTGGGCTCATGATGTGCTCCTCACTTCAGTTGGATCTCTGCTTAGATGTCACCTCTGTGGAGAACTACCCAGTGTTTCCATGTGTTCACATCCCTCTCTGTCTATACCTCGCTTTACTTCTCACCTTTTATCACCATGTGTCATTATATCATATTATTGATTATCTTTGGGTCCAAGATTTAAGTGTAAGTATCCTTCATATGGAGACTGTCTTTTCCGTTCATTGCTGTCTACTGTTTAGAGCATGTAACACGTACTCGGTAAGCAACGAATGAATGAGTAAAAGAGATGATCACACAAGTATGTAATTACTATTCCTGGTAAACAAATGCGACAAGTGAAAGTACTTTGGAAACTATAAATATTCCATGCATGCAAGGTGATAATATTTATTTAAATTTGAGGAAAAAAATGTAATCGGCAAAAAGATGACTTTTTTGTACTTTTACCAGTCGGTCCAAATATTTATTTCCTGAGTTTCTCTTTCTTTATGTCTGTGGTTTATAACAGAGAGCCCAACCTTTGGAGTTTTTTAACGTCCTCCACTCCAATTTAATCACTCTCTACAGATTCCTTACCCAGGCTGGTGAACCTTCCTGAAACTCATGAGGACTCCTCAGTATTTACATGCTCCTTGGGACTGGCTGTAGCATGCAGTGGCCCTGTGCATTTTGGGGAGAGAGTTCCTGTGACTTTCACTGGATTCTGAGTTTATTATGGCCTCTCCCCCAAGTTTAAGAGTCATTTCTTTCTCTCTACAGTTTAGTGCCTTTCTTTTACTTTTTGTGGCACCCTTGGCATTTCTTTTTCTCCTTCAGCTGGTTTCATTTTCCTTTTAACGTCCATGATGGTATTTTGGTGTTTTTCAGTGTTTACTGTTTGACTGTCCCTAGTGTGTGGTATTCTTAGTTTATGGCGTGCCTTTGATCCGGCCTTCCTCTGTCTCTCTGTTGTCTGGCCAGCAGTGTCGGGATGTGCCAACTGCAGGGTTGTCCTGTCCAGCTCCTCTGGGACCTTTGCCTCTCCATGCTACCCAAATGACTACCCCAACAGCCAGGCTTGCCTGTGGACCCTCCGAGCTCCGACTGGCTACATCATTCAGATCACATTTAACGACTTTGACATTGAAGAAGCTCCTAATTGCATTTATGACTTGTTATCTCTCGATAATGGAGAGAGCCAGACTAAATTTTGTGGAGCAACTGCCAAAGGCCTATCATTTAACTCAAGTGCGAATGAGATGCATGTATCCTTTTCAAGTGACTTTAGCATCCAGAAGAAAGGTTTCAATGCCAGCTACATCAGAGGTATGTAAACCAAAAGCAGTGCCAACTTTCTGCTTTCCTTTTAACATGTGCTACAGTAAACACATGGACCAGAATACGGAGTTATGCTCTTTTATGTGAATGTGAATGATGAGGATTAGGTATTAAGGGTAGGAATCTGTTAATGTTCTCTGAACATTCTCATTAGCCAAACTATAATTACCAGATTAAAAATCTGGTTATAGTAGAGCTGAATTCTTTTTATATGCTTTTCATGCAGAACATGTAAAAGCTGCTTGGAAAACTAGATACTCACTGCTAATAATTAAAATTTATAACTCTAATGTCTCTCCACTGAAAATTTAAAACATCCTTACTTAGAAATAATTTTATTTTGGACATTTACGATGTTGCCCTTTTGAAGACTATCCTAGATGACAAGTATAGAAAATTCCCATGTAAATTTTTAAAAAGCTATTAATAACTTATGCTAATAAACAATTTAACTTGAGGAAAGCCCGGCTGAAGGAAATAAAACATATTACTAAATATGTTTTCCAAATTCTAGCACATCTGAACATTAAAATAAATCTTGCATCTCTAAAACCGCTCTTAAGGAAACTCAAGCTTCAAGACTGAGAGTTAGGCATCTTTTCTTCTGAGCTTCTTAAGCACATGTCATGCATTAAAAAATAATGATACCCCCCCCCAAAATAATGATACAATCATGATAGCTACATTATTATAAATTGTGTATTTTGGTTAAGGAGTTTTCACTGTTTGTGATTGATATTAAGTACATGTATGGTTAAGTAAAATACGTGTACTTTAATATTTCAAAGCAATTATAAAGTGCAGGAAATTTGGAAATAAAAAAGAAGCAAATTAGAATTCTTCACCCCACAGCCATAACCACTAATAAAATGTTGATGGATATATTTTCTTCCAGATTTTTTTATCTTAACAATGCATATAGAGAACGTGACTCTGATTGCACAAAAAGCCCTTTTAAGTAGACCTATAAACTGTTCTATATTTAAAAAGTAGATAGAAATTCCCAATTCTCTTAAATTCTTTCATAGATTTTTTGACTAAAGTACTTATATTAAAATGATGAGTTAGCATAGAGCAATTTTGGTGCATATTAAATATATATCCAAGCTACCATTTACATGAAATGATTATTATTATTTGTACAAATAATTGAACTCAGCACTAGAACATGCTAGGCAAGCACTCTACCACTGAGCTATATTCCCAGCTGAACCAATATTAAATAACATTTTGAGAAGAGATATCTATCTCTTAAAGCAACTTTTTGGTGTCTATTATATTAGCATAGGGATAAACCCATTGACTTATTTAATAACTTCAGTGTCACAGATACATTGGACTTACATATTTTTACTTTTGAATTTATTGTGCACTCGCTGTTGCTGTAGCATGGGCATTTCTCCTTTTGTGGCACATGGACCTGTTCTGTTCTCATTGATGACATATGCCATGGGCAGCACTTACAGATGAGGAGATGAGGGCAGAGAGGTGAAGTGACAGCCCCGGGTCACACTGCTCCGCAGGGCAGCTGAGTGGTGAATTCAGCTCCATGGTCCCCCCTCAGGCACTTCTTTCCTGTCGTCCTCACAGAGCAGCGCCTATGCTCAGATGTGAAGCAACCATAATTTCAAATGCCATTTTCCTTTGCCTTTTCTCTAGATTTCGTCTCATTATAGAGTTCTTTTCTGCACTTGTTCCTAAAATTGCCTGATGATGGGAGGAAAGAGAGGGACACGGAGTGTCTGAAGGGCAGATGATGGTCCGGGCATGTTTGGAAAGACTGGAAGGCAATTGTTCATGAAAAAATCCAAGTATTGTTTATGTTTAGAAAGTGCTTTTAAAATGACATGTTTTCAACCTTCTTGATGTAAAAATGAAGCCTTCCTGAACCCAGATCTCTCCATAGTTACCTACGGAGTTGTGTTTTTTTTAATTTTTCAATTTTTAATTTCAAGATTAAAAATATTTACCAACTTGACTGGCTGTAAGTTCAAGTTTCGGTGTGAGATGCAGTCGCGCTTAGAGCTAAAATGGGTAGGATTTCTTAGCTGTTATTAAAGGCATAAGATGTGATAGAGGGTGGACAGAGAGAGGCAAGCAAGAAGGCAGAAGGTGGGTGAAAAGAGCAGAGACTACAAAGTGCAGTGTGTCAGACTTTCCGCACCTCACTAGGCCGAGTTCTGGAGTTAAAATCCCTTATTTATGGTGTTATGCTTTGTCCTAGTTGCCGTGTCCTTAAGGAATCAAAAGGTCATTTTACCCCAGACACCAGATGCTTACCAGGTCTTTGTTGCAAAAAGTGTCTCCATTCCGGAGCTCAGCGCTTTCACATTCTGCTTTGAAGCAACTCAAGCTGGAAATGAAGATGACAACTGGACAGCTTTCTCCTACTTGGATGCATCATCCTTGCAATGGCTTGGTTTTGGAAAGGCCAATGATGGCTACTTCCTGTCGATTTCTGGCTCAAAATGCTTGTTGAACAGCGCATTACCTGTGAAGGAAAAGGAAGACATTTTCACAGAAAGCTTTGAGCAGCTCTGCATTGTTTGGAATAATTCGATGGGCTCTGTGGGTGTCGATTTCAAAAGAAACTATGAGACAGTTCCATGTGATTCTACCATTAGTAAAGTTATTCCTGGGAATGGAAAATTGTTGCTGGGCTCCAATACAAATAAAATAGCCTCTCTGAAAGGGGAAATTTATAACTTTAGACTTTGGAATTTTACCATGAATTCGAAAATGCTCTCCAACCTCAGCTGTAACATGCAAGGGAATGTGGTAGACTGGCAAAATGACTTCTGGAACATCCCAACCCTGGCTCTGAAGGCTGAAAGCAACCTGAGCTGTGGTAAGTCTTGGCACAAGAATTAATATTCTTTTAATTTTTTTGCACTGCTCAATAGGAATGTCAGTAAGAAATACACAAGCACATGTATGTAAAAATATACTATATATATATATGTCAAAAACGAGATATATATATATATATATATATATATGTCATCAAAGATCTGTTTTAGCTTTTAAAATCTTACCTGCTCAGCCATTCACAGCATACATTTGATTACAAGCCATGGTTATTCAAAGAAAGTCTTAAGTCTTATCATTCTTAAGTTTTCCTTATGTCAAAAATATTAAACAGTTTATCATTAACGATATGGCTAAATTATTAAGGCTGAAATCCAAATGTTATTGACAGGCTTGATACAAAATAATAAGTTATTGTTTTTACTCAAAAAAATGACACACTAATAAGTTGATATTTATCATCCTGGAACGAAATTTCAATTGCATTACTTAAATAAACAGCCGTCAACTAAGAAAAGAATGTTTTTTAGCAAGTACTGTACATCAAACTGTCCATTTTATGGCAGAATCTTTGGGTTTTTTTGGGTTTTTTCGGTTATTTTTGGTACCAGGGATCTAACTCTGGTCCTTGCACTTAGGCAGCAGGAGGCAAAACCACTGAGCTAAATCCCTGGCCCTTGGCAGAATCTTTGTTATTGGGAATTACCAATTATTTCTTTAAATGTTTCTCTCTGTTAGAAAATGAGCACTTTTAGTTTGTTTTAAATACTACTCTCTTTATTCACTATGTAAGAGACTTTAAATGTGATACCGTTGGAAGCAGCTAAATGCAAAATATTTAGGAAAAATTATGCTAAAATAGATATCCATTCTGTATAATAAAAGTTATGTTCAAATAGACTTTCACAGTATTCTCTCTGTACACAAGTTAATTTTGGAAATCATTTTTGTTATAGGACTGGTTCAAAAACAAAAAGCAGAAGTTACACTATCAATTTTAAATGTTATGTGACTAGTGATAATATATACTTTTCCGTCACAGAGATAAATAACTCTTAGTAGAGGAGAGAAGGATCATAGTGTTCAAAAGTCGTTTGTAGGTGACTGGAGAGCACTTCATGTGGAGTGAGTTCTCCATTCCTTGCCCAAAGTAGGATCCATTGTAAAAACCCAAGGCCACCTCCGAAGGTGTCCTGAACTTGTTCCTGCCCCCTCTGGCTTGGGAGACTCCTGCCACCTATTCTGTGGAGGTCCTCACTTCTCCTGAAAGTGGCCAGAGGCCTCTTCAGTGCTATCACTTGAGAGACATTTTTTGTGTGTGTGAATTGTTGGAAAGAGGGTAATCCACAACCTTGTTCCAGAAGGAGACTGTGGAGCCTTATAATAGCCAGTGGTGTTCCATAAGATCCTCTCTGTAGGATTAACCACAGAGGACTTCGGGAAACCTGAGAAATCTGTCAGCACCAAGGCTGCTGAGCAGGTTAAGCATGTGTGTGTGGTGTGGGATGGTGAAGAGAAAGAAGATGAAGAGCTACACTTGCTACATTCTGGGTGATTCTGTAGGGGCCTCTTTCCATCATATTCTTTGCCTTTATTAAAAAGTCACAATATAGCAACTGGAAAAAAATTAGGGGCTAGATATATTAATCGCTAATAGTTAAATTATATTTAAATTAAATACTATGTGCTCGATGCCATTTGAAGCAATTTACACACGTTTAATTAGTAGATGTTTGGAGTACATAGTGTTTGCATCTTAATTCCTTTTTTTACCCCATTTCCCTTACTGCCCTCCTCACTCCATCCATGTCTTGACATCACTCCCCACTCCACTGCCTCTTTTGGTACATGTTTGCAACGCATGATATTCACATTCCTTGTATGAAACTGGCATATGTAGACAGCACATCTTAATTCCTTTTTCTTCAATCCCCATTTCTGCCCCCCTTCGCTCCCTCCATCTTTTGATCCCTTTCTTTCTAGAAAGATCTACCTCCTTACTTCTTAGTATCTTTTACTTTGCTCTTTATGTGCACTTTGGGTTTTTCATATAAGAGAAACAGTATGATGTTTAGGCTTGTGCGTCTGATTTATTTCACTTAAGGTTACGGTCTCAAGGTGCATCCATTTTTCTACACATTACTCAAGTTTATCCTTCTTTACGACAGAGTAGTACTCCATTGTGTATAAATACCACATTTTCTGCATCCCTTCATCTCCTGATGGCCATGTAATCTGCTTCCAAGATTTAGCTATTATGAATTGTGCTGCTATTATGAATTTAGCTACTATGAATTGGACACGCATGTATGACTGTAATATATCTTTAACTCTTTGGGCAAGACACCTAGAAGGGGAATAGTTGAATCAAATGGAATTTCTAGTTTGAGTTTTTTTGAGGTATCTTCCTACTTATTTCCAAAGTGGCTGTACTAGTTTACAGTACAACCAACAGTGTAGAAGGGTTGCTTTTTCCCTGCAGCCTCTTCAGCATTTGTTATTATTTGTTTTCTTGATGATGGCCATTCTTTTTGGAGTAAGGTGGAATCTCAGTATTGTTTTAATTTCAGTTTTCCCAGTGGCTGGTAATGTTCAGCATTTCTTCATATATTTATTGGCCATTTGTACTTCTTCTGCGAAATATCTATTCATTTTAGTTGTTCGTTTTTTCATCTGTTATGATCCCATTTGTTGATTCCCCTTACTGTGTCCTGTTCAACAGGGGTTCTGTTCAGGAAGTCCTTGCCTATGCCTATGACTTTAAGAGTTTTATTTGTTTTGTCCTCCAGCAGGTCAAGTGTTTCTGTTCTACCATTAATTTTTTTGATCTATTTTGATTTTACTTTTAGTACATAGTGAAAGAGACAAGTCTACATTCAATCTTCTGCATGTGCACTATTTATTAAAGGGGCTCTCTTTCCTCCAATGTACATTTTAGGCTCTTTTATCAAAGATCAAACAGTTGATTGTGCTTGGGGTTGCTTCTGTATCCTTGATTCTGTTCCATATTAACTCATCTCTTGGATCATTGAACCCACCAAATGGATTCTGTTTTGCAGATGAGAAATCTGGGCAGAAGGAGGTTAAATAACTTACCCAGTGTCACTTAATTCTAAGTGACCAAGCCTGAATTTGAACTCTGAAAGTTGGTTTTAAGAGCTATGCTCACTTAATCGGTATAAATTAGGCTGTCCTTCAGCATAGACAAAACTTATCAGCTGTGATGTGCTATTAGGGTTAGAGAGCTAACTATTGCCAAGAAAGGAGTATCGAGGTCCAGGATCCAACTCTTCTGACCCCCAGTGTGATCTGTGGGAAAACGCTATCTTTACAGGGTGTTAACATAATGTTTGTCTTCAGCAAACTTAATGAAGTTTCTTTCCTGCAGTGTTTCTTGGATACTTTAAGATACGATATTAAAGAGATTCTTGTACTTTCTAAGAAACCCTCTAGAGCAGAGGTTGGCAATGTGGGAGGGGCTATGACAGCCACTTGTTTTTGTAAGCAATTTCAGAGGCACCACAGCCACGTCCATTAGTTTATGCACTGTCTATGCCTGTGACTGTGCTGCAGTAGCCAAGTGGACTGACTGATAGCGATGGCACGACCTACCATCCTAAAATATTTACTGAGTTGTCCTTGAAGGGAAAATTTGCCAATCCCTGAAACTAGTTCAAATAATTATAAAAGTCCAGTGGGCTGAAGCTCATACTCTGTGGACAACACCAGAGAAGATCTACCAGGTCTCTGAGAGCTTGGGAAGCCGTCCAGACCTCCACTGTGTAACCATTAGCCATGAGACTTTGGTGATGGTAGACTTTGGTCATGGTGATGGTGTTTTTTTGTCCCAACTATTTGCATTTGTTCCACATAGTGCTTTTAAAACAATGGATTATTTCCAGCATTATAAAGTCAGACTCCACTTAAGGATTAAAATTTTTTCTTCTCCTGGCAAACAAAGTACTAACATGATTTGGCTAGTATTTCCATGTGGGCAACATGATAGAGGTGAGTAGTGGCCGGCCCTTTGAAGGATTTTCTGGTTCACGTCAGCTCTCCCCACATCCTTCCACTGAGCCTCCTTCTTCATCTGTAGATACCTCTGACTCTGGTAGACATTTAAGTTTGGGAATCCCAATTTAAGCTGCTTGCTTTACCTTATTCAGGACAGGAAAGTGAAGCTTAGAAAAAAAATAAGTGGTTAAGGCAGTTGGTGGCCTAAATCACATGTCACCTGTCTCCTTATTTAGTTTATATCTAGGAATCTTAAAATTTTTAAAAAATTTGAATTGACAAAAATTGCATTTATTTCTGGTATAAAACTTGATGTTTGACATTTGCCTATATCTTGGAATGGCTAATGGAAGTTAGTTAACATGTCTGTGACCTCATATACTTACCATTTAATTTAACCGTAATTTCATATCTTTTGACTTTCATCTTTCTGATCACTGTGCTTTCCACCTCCTCTTTGCTCCTGTGATTTTGACTTTTTTAGACTCATACATGTAAGTGAGATCATGCGGTGCTCATATTTCCTTAAACGGTTTTTGAGGCTCCTTTCCTAAACCTTAAAATTCCTGGAATGTGTCAAATGCATGCTCATGTACCTTAGTCATCTAAGCAAGTAAGTTTTCAGAATGATTTAATCAAAGGAGTAGCCCAAAATTACAAAGTCAATATGTTTGAATCTCTGACTTTTACAACAGTCCTCTTGACATTCCAAGATGATGCCAAATTCCCCCACTGCATGCACTCAGATGTCCTGGACTGTGTGTCAGGAATAATGATGGGAGAGGGAATTTCCTGCTGCTTAATCATCAGCTTTGGGAGTTGAAGACTCCAAGTCACTTATTAACTGACAGGAAATACCTGTCCTAGAGATTATATCTAGGCTTGTTAGCTAAGCAAAACTTCAATAAGTAGAAAAAAATGTGTTCTGTTAACGTTTTAACATTTCTTTTTTCCAGAAAATATTGTGACTTGTTGTTTGTGGTTATCTTGATTTCCAACAAACTAATGATCAGTACAGTAACCAAT